AGTATACTCCATATCTTTTTAAATTTTGACACTATCAATAAACTACAATATCAAAATAGAGACTATTAGAAAAAAAAACTAATGGAAGTTATTATATATTCTAAAATCTTGAACTTTTTTATATAATGTAAAAGCCATTGTTTTTTGTTGAGTTGCTGTTGTTGCAGTACCTAGGAGTAGCAAAATTCGGTAGCGGTTACGGCTATATATACAGCCGCAGCTAACTGAGCAAAACACGGACGGCAAATATTCAAGGCAACATATCCTATACACACAGGCCCTCACGTATACACACGTGCACACTAACTAAAAAATATCACCAAAAAATCTAGAAAAAATCATACACATACTTTCAATTGTATTACACATAGGGTTAAAATCTTAACGTCAAATTCATTATATTTTAGCCGTAACAAAAAATCTGACAGTTTTAAGGTTGCAATTTTGTTAGAATTTTATCTTTTTTGATATTCTCTATGTAGAATGAATTTGAAGATGCGACTTTACACATAGATGTAATACTATTGAAAGTACATGTATGAATTTTCCTAGAATTTTTTGTGATAATTTTTAGTTGGTGTACATGGTGTGTGTACACGCGAGGGCATGTGTGCATAGGATATGCTCCCAATATCCAAATATTAGACCGTTGAAATTAAACGGTTCAACCTTTTTCCCAGATATAGTGGTTTGGCCAATGTGTCGCTGCTTAGTGATATGGTACGGCTAAAAGTATTTTCAAATTTTAAAAGTTAGTATTGATTAGTAAGTGAAATAAAAAATCCTATCCTTTATGATACATTTATAACCTTGATAAATATGGCACAGATGTTATAGGTGTGTTTAGTTCACGCTAAAATTGTAAGTTTGGTTGAAATTAGAACGATGTGATGGAAAAGTTAAAAATTTATGTGTGTATAAAAGTTTTGATGTGATGGAAAAGTTGGAAGTTTTTTGAAAAAGTTTAGAACTAAACAAAGCCATGTGACAAACAGTGTACTTGAAGATAAATAAAATAATTTTTACAGGACAGTTTAACCCATATACTATGTGGCATGTCTTTTCCATAGGCGCAGAACAGGGGGACGACGGTCAGCGGCCTGGTCCCCTCCAATAATCTTTTCACACATAATAGCGTAACTAATTAGGTAATTAATTTAAGTATTAGTGTATTAGGTCCTCTTCAAAACTCTTTGACACCTCCTATGTGTAAATCATGGCACTCTCGACATTGATCTCTTCTTGGTTCCTAAAATATTATGGGGTACATCTCGAATTTGTTCAAACATAATGATTGAAAGTTTGGCTCTTATTACATCATCCAACAAGTATAGGCCGTGCTCGGAACACTGGTTGTAGCTGCACCTTGCTACAGGTACGACGACCGATCCAAAAAACAGTTGCAATATATGAAGCCAAGATACCTTTCTTATAATTGGGCTTGTGCACTGCAGCTAATGTTTCTGATAAGATAAAAAGATTATAATTTTTTGAACCTGAAATAAAATAAAACATTGTTTTTACCATGGCACCATTTGAAAGTGCACTTTATCTTTTCCTATAAACATGGGGGAATCGAAATTGAGATGATCAAACGTGCCAATTGGCACTGTATATCTATATCCTCAAAATGTCAATATTAGCCCTTGTTTGTCATGGGAATAAGTACTTTTAGAGGCACAAATCCAATACAGAAAGTTGATGTTAGAGTCAGTTAATGATTATAATTAGATATTTAGATTATACATTTTCAACACACAGCTTTATAATGGACTTGACGTTTATACGGAAAAGGATGGCCGGGTGCGTGGTTTTATAACAAAACATGCGGAGGGATGATGAGATTAATTATTTATCTACATTTCATTTCCATATAATAAACTAGTTAACATATTTATGTTAGGAATTCATTTAATTTGTTGAGCGAAGGGTGTCAAGCTAGCACACTCACGGCTGACAGGCCATAAAAATAAATGAGTCAAAAAAATAATTTAGGAAAAAAATTGACATCTATATTATCCCATGTTTAAAAAGTTATGTTAGAAGTTAGAAATAGGTTGTAATAAAAAACATTTGTATTTTTGCAGCCTGCAGGTCACCGGCATGAACATTCATATAGTTGTTGTAGCAAAGCATGGACAGGTATGGGCTGTGGCTGAAAAGCCAAACCAAACAACCTACCAATGAGAACCAATAAAAGACTTGAGTAAAATTTAGCAGATATTACTAATTGAAATTAAGAGCTTAACCTATTTTTTTTATTAATACACGTATAATTATATTTGTGGTGTTAATAATAATTAGTCTTGTGTCAACCAAAAGATCGGTTTCGTCAACCAAAATTAGGTTTAAAAACCTAAGTTTTGGCTGCGGCCGATAAAAATATCATTGGCTGGATATTTGGGCTGTGGATTTTTAGCTGCAGTCATTGACGTGGCAATTTTTATTGATTGGTGTACTCAAGTTACTAAGAGTGACGAATAAATCGTGGCAGGTTTTGACTAAAAAAACTACATCAAACCATCAATAAATGATAGTGTCATGGTTATGGATAAATAATAGTGTCAGGGTTATGGATACCACATACCTAATAGTAGTTGACTAAATCTCGGTAGGACCCACCACTTACCATGTCTTATACGGAAACAAACTTCGGATATAGGAGGTGACGGAGCTCGTGGCTCCTCACCGGGAGACCGCGCAGGCCCCCCTTTGCCAGTTCGGCCGGGGGCTTAGGGTGAAATCTCAAGCTCTCTCTGTATGTGGAAAGATCGTCTGCCCGGAAGAAACGCGAGACACGGACGATGTATACAGGTTCGGGCCGCTGGGAAGCGTAATACCCTACTCCTGTGTTTTTGGTGGATCTGTGTAAGAGCAAGTTACAAAATATCAAACAGCCCTCTCTTCTCTCGGGAAAATCCAGCCCCTCTCTTTGTGGGCATGGTCCTCCTTTTATATCTTAAGGGGATACCACATGTACCCTCCTCCTTCCAAACTGGACTTTTCTTCTCTTTATGGACGGAGGTTGGTATGGTTGCCGTCCGAATGACACTTCGATGGGACAGCCCACACCTACCTCCACTCCCGGCGGAGACAGGCGCAACGTGGGATCGTGGCTGTCTGTTGCCGACGTGACCAGTGTCAGACCGGTCACAGATCGGTCATTCTTGTCCTCTATGCGTCAGTTCAGCGATCTGCATGATCACCCTTCTTTTTGTAGCATCTTGCCTGTAATGGTTGGGATGAAGCCTGGTATTCATCTAACCAGGGCTAACGTGCCATCTCTAAGAGGTAACACGCTAGCTCCGGCTGGAGACGTGTGCCTAGAGGCTCTCGTCTTGACGGGACGGGGCGAGGCGTGCGTCAGACCGCCAGTCGCCACCTAACCGTTGATCCGACCGGTCTGTGACTGGTCACAGACCGGATAAAAGAGCGCGCTGCATTGCGCTGCATGCAGCGTGACACGCTTGACCAGACCGCAATAAATGCGGTTAGGTGAGCCCTAACGTGTTCGCCCAACCTATGTACATAGTGCAAACCCCACAAGGGGTCGGGGCACCTCGGCCCTCGGGGCTGGGGCAGGAGCAACCCGACCCCCCCCCCCTCGGGGAAAATCAGGAGGAGGGCGGACACCTCACCCTCGGGCCCGACGTCCCCGAAGGTGCCAGGCCACGTGGGCGATTCAATCTGCCTCAAGCCTCCGGGCGCAATACCCCCGGTCCCATATCACCGACAGGAGGAGTTCCGCATAAGGAAGGATAACCAGAATTCTACATGGAAACGACAAGAACTACTCGGATTGTATCCATATTGGTTTCCCTAGTTCTATTTAGACAAGGGGATACCTATGGGTATAAATACAAGACCCCATAGGAGGAGAGGGGGCGCGGACAACATAAACGCCACAAAGCCACAAGCCAACATACGCCAAGACAAGACGACGGATATCGACTTCAGGGATAAGCACGGCTAGTTCCCTACGGTGTCTCCGGATACTGTCAGGAGAGACGAAAGCGCTATCTCTGATCTCGCCGGGTACGGATTCGAGGAGGAAGACTACCCTGTTGTCGACTACGAGTCAGATCTTCAGACCGCCATGTCGACAACAGTTAGATAAGCTACCCTAAATATTGTACTGGTGTGATTATGGTGAATAAGAGCAATACCGGCTTCGGCTAACAGGATGTAGGGTTATTACCTAACAATTCAGGGGCCCGAACTTGTATAAAAATCCTTGCCTCTGTCTCTTTTACCTCAGTTTCGCGTATATCCTAGTACCAACGATCCCCATACTATACAAATACCGGAATCGCGACATCAAACCTCGACAGATAGTATAGCATAAACTAACACCGACCGAAATTCAATGTTCAACCCCAAATTTTTGATCCCTGCTACATATCAAAGGATGTTTTTAGATCAGGGGTGTAAAGTTTTGGCGTGTCACATCAGATATACAGACACACATTGGAAGTATTAAGCGTAGTCTAATAATAAAACAAATTACAAAATCCGCCTGTAAACCGCGAGACGAATTTATTAAGCCTAATTAATCCGTCATTAATAAATGTTTACTGTAGCACCACATTATCAAATCATGGTGCAGCTGGGCTTAATTAAAAGATTTGTCTCGTAATTTACACGCAATCTATGTAATTATTTTTTTTATATTTAATAGTCGATGTATGTGTCAAACATATGATGTGATATGGTGTAAAATTTTACCAGAGAATCTAAACTGGTCCAAAGTTGCACTTTGTGGTGTTGACAAAAGGGGTAGTATATATAAAATCCAATTTGTCACGTGTCAACCAAAAGGCCAGGTTTCTCCAGCAGAGGTAGCTATCCCAATACGCACGTACGTATGTACTCGATACTTGTAATACGCAAATACTGAACGTTGTATCACCCACACAAATACTGATACATATACCTATACGTATGCGTCACCGTCGCTGTTGCACCTGCCAATTGCCATAAATGCCCCGGGTCACCACCCGGTCTCTTCTCCCTCCCCCCCTCTCTCTCACTCCGGATCGATCAGCTTAGCTCCACCCAACCCCCAGCCGCGTCGACTAGCTGAGCTGAGCTTTCCCTTGGCCTATATACTCTCTCTCTCTCTTCTCGCCCCACCCTACTCCTTCTAGTACCTCCGAGCTAAGCCACTCCACCGCCGATTGATCGCGTCACGGCGGCGCAGCCCGGCCGCCAGCGTCGTCCGTCCGATCGGCAGGTGAGGGAGTACTGGCTACTGTTGTCTTCTTCTTCTTCTCCCTCTTCTTCTTCCTGCAGCTGCCTGCTGCTGCTGCAGCGGATTCTGCAGGTCGCGTCGCGTCGTGTCGCCTCTGATGGTGGTGTAGCATCTCTCTCTCTCTCCTGTGGCGCGTGTGTCAGTTCTTGGGCTGCTGTAATTAGCCTCCTGGCAAGAGAGGTGTTCAGAATTCAGATCAGGGCCACCCCGTACTACTAGAGCACTAGCTGCAGCAGCGGTCTCTGGTCTGGACCAGCGAATCCAATCGCCCCACTAGAGATAACCAAACCCTAGTTGCATCTGTATCTCTCCTTGCGTGTTTGGTTGTCCTTAGCTGGTGAAGCAAAGCGCCGGGGCAGCAGCAGAAACACCCAACCGATTCACAGTTAATTTCTTGATCGATTTATTGAGTACGGCTTCCCCAGCCGCCTTCAATTTCGTTTGCTTTATGCTTGGTTTTTTGGTTCCATCGATTGCCGAGAATTCGAGCATGCGATCGCTAGCGGCAATTGAAAGAAGATGTGGCTTTAATTTTTGGTTGAATTCATTTCATGGGGGGGGGGGGGGTTGATTTTGATTAGCCTTTTTGTGTTGACGCATGCAGATCTGAGGAGGGAGAAAGGTTTGCTGCTGCTTGTGCTAGGACGTCATGCAGGGAGGCGGCGGCGGGGATAGCTCCGGCGGCGGCGGCGGCGAGGCGCCGCGGCCGAGCAGGTACGAGTCGCAGAAGCGGCGGGACTGGCACACGTTCGGGCAGTACCTGCGCAACCACCGGCCGCCGCTGGAGCTGTCGCGGTGCAGCGGCGCGCACGTGCTGGAGTTCCTCCGGTACCTGGACCAGTTCGGGAAGACGAAGGTGCACGCCGCGGGGTGCCCCTTCTTCGGCCACCCCTCGCCGCCGGCGCCGTGCCCGTGCCCGCTCCGCCAGGCGTGGGGCAGCCTCGACGCGCTCGTCGGCCGCCTCCGCGCCGCCTTCGAGGAGCACGGCGGCCGCCCCGAGGCCAACCCCTTCGGCGCCCGCGCCGTCCGCCTCTACCTCCGCGAGGTCCGCGACAGCCAGGCCAAGGCCCGCGGCATCGCCTACGAGAAGAAGCGCCGCAAGCGCCCGCCCACCTCCTCGTCTTCGTCTCAGGCCGCCGCCGCCGCCGCCGCCGCCACCTCCCCGGCGAGCCCAGCCGCTAGCCCGACGCCGCCACCGCCACCGCCGACGGAGAGATCAGCCGACGTGCGGCCGATGCCACCGGAGGGCCACTTCTTCATCCCGCACCCACACTTCATGCACGGACACTTCCTCGTACCGGGCGGCGACGCCGACCACCACCACCAGGTCTCCAACGCCGGCAATGGCGGCAACACCAACACCAACACCAACACCAACACCGGCGGCGGCGGCGGCAACGGCGACGAGATGGCGGTGGCGATGGCGGCGGTGGCGGAGGCGCACGCGGCGGGGTGCATGCTGCCGCTGTCCGTGTTTAACTAGCAGTAATATTCAGAGATCAGCAGCATATAGCAAAAATCAAGGTAGGGCTTAATCAAATCCGGGGGAGGGTTTTAATTAATGGATTACTCCAACCTTAGTTCGTTAAAACCGATCGATCGATCGATGGATCGATGCGTCTCATCATGATGGAATGATGGATTCGATTGGATTCGATTCGATCGAGCTATCAACGTAGCGCTACTGTGTATGTACTGTTTGTGTTCTTATCAAACTCTACTCTTTTGGTTACATTTCCTGAGCTGCATGCCCCGGAGTGCCTGCCTGCTACTGTAGGGTTTTTAGTACTTCTGTCATCATGCTTTGGCTTTCTGTATGGTATGCTCATCATCATCATCATCCATAATTAATATAATGCAAGGTTAATTTTATTTCAAGTGTATCTGAACTAACTACGGTTTCTGTTGTCAAGTACTGCTAATATAAAATTTGATATTTACATTTTGGTTTTGCTGTTTTTTTTCCGTCCCTCGAATTTCCTGCTTCCAATTTAAAGTGGCATGAAATATTTGTCCATGGCTTGCATTACCATTTTACTAGTAGGAGTACTAGCTCACAAAGGTTACCGATTTTTCGTTTAAATATTATGACGCTTAATTAATTCCAGATAAGGCCTGAGCTATTTGTTCCCTTTCTAGAGACCATCAATGCAGGCCACTTTATATCGTGTGTGTTCAGACCTTCAAGTTAATGCATGAATGAATATTGATGTCATTAGCCTCTTCCCTTGTCTCTCAATCTTTTTGGCCTCAGAATGATGTATGTAGAGGGCATGGTCCAGTATCTGGACATGTAAATTAATGTCAGAAATCAATTAAAGCAGCAACATTTTCTATTTGGGCACAACATAAAACTGTTACCACTTCTTTTCTACCTTCTGTTTCAAGGTAGTTGTTGAAGTTTTTACTGTATTTGTTCTGTCCTTTTTTTTTCTTAAGAATCCGATTTATTGATTTTAACCACACTCCCTCTGTCTCTGTAAACATCCTTCACTTTATATTTTAAAACGAAGCTAATATTCTCCGGGGACCTTCATCTCCTCGGCCAACAGATCAATGACAATGTTTGTGCGGTGAATGTTTTTTCCTTACTTTATTTAATATATATTGTGGTGTATAATATTTTCCTCGAGACTTATATTTGCAAAGAAGAAAAAAATCAGTTATACAACGGAAGATCAGTTTATGTACCAAGTCTCTTGAACTAACCCATTAAATCGCAGGAATAAAAGAAAGTATAGAAAAAAATATGGGATTCTAACAGGATTGCAAATGCAAAAAAAAAAAACAATGGAAATGACTGTTTGATTCGACCGGAAAAAAAACATAGGAAGCAGATAGGAGAAATAGAGTCAGAGTAAATTTTTCAAGAGGTTGAAGCAAATGAGAGGATTGTCCATTCCATATAAATTTTAAAGGATAGGATATGATCCAATCTTTGTTTCGAAGACCTTTATAAGAATTTTTCCTATAGAATTAAAATACTTTAATTTCTATGTTTTTCCTTACAAATCAAAGGGGCCCAAAGCAAGTCATCCGTCCACTCTTCCCGTTGCAATGTTACAATCATTTTACTAGTGATACAAACCGTGTTGATTCATGAGTCTTGCTACTGTTAAAAAAAACTCTCTTTATATTCTTAAATACAAAAAAGTGTTGACTTTTTAAATAACGTTGGATCATTCGTCTTATTAAAAAAACTATCACAAATATAAACAAAATATAAGGTATGGTTAAAATAAAATTAATAATAAAACAAGTCACAACAATAATATAAATTAAATAAGATATATGGTCAAATGCCCAGTTCAAATCAAAAGTGAACATCGTGAAGATAGAGAGATCTACTACCAGAATTCAAGTGACAGTATAAATGAATCAGTCGTACTCCAGTTCTATTGAATTGGAAAAGAAAAGCGATATAAACATAATTTTACTCCTAGTAAAAATCATTGTAAAATATCTCAACCTTTTTTTCGTCTGTAAACGAGAAGGGACCGGGGACAGACTACAGACACTAGATTGATGAACCTTATGAAGCTTACGCTAGTTACTGTTCGTATTTGACTATTTGTCAGCCTTCCGACCGAACTCGATAAAAGGTAGCTACACTGTAGAAACTTTTTCATGCCTCCTGTAATAAATTCCTGGCTCTACAGTGTGAAATATCAAGCAACAATCAGAAAGTACTGTACATAGTGGCCTTATTAGCTCTTTGTATTGTTATATTTTATAGTAATTGCGAAGCTAATTACTCACAACAAAAATAGCAAAATCTTACAGATTTTTTTAACATCTTTAATTTTAAAAATAACTCAGGTTGTGTTCGGAGCAGCAAGCTATGGCAGCGTTGCAGCCGCAGCAACAGGACTTATAGCAAGCAAATTTCTACTAAAACAACAACAGCATTGCGGCTGTACAACCACCTTCTAACTTAACCGAACAGACCCTCTCTTTTTTTTTTTCAAATTTGAACATTTCGACCACACCATGTTGTCATTGTTAGCTCTATCATTCGTTCTTTAGCTTATCAACCGTATTCAAAATTTAAATTTTATAATTTAATTCTTAGAGTATTACTGAAACTTAATTTTTAAAATTTGAAGGTACCGGTACAAAGGAGTAATATCCTTCTGAAAGTTACTCGCGGCACCATTTAAATTTGTAGTGGTGGTTAGTATTACTGAAATGAGGCTGATCGACTCATGGTGTGAGAAAATGGCTGTCCATTTCTTTACACGTACTCACTTCCGTTCCAAAAAATAAAACTAAATCTAGAAGGGGATGTGACACTTTCTATTAGAACGAATCTAGATAAAAGACCGTCCAGATTTATTGTACTAAGAGCAAGTTTAATAGTATAGCCAACTGCTAGCTCCAATTCATATATAGCCAATTTAATAGCTCATTCATACAATAGTTACATACTACACTATTAATATCTGGTCCCACCTGTCATACACACACTGTGTCTTGGAGTCCGTGCTACAGCTGGCTATAAATCTGTAGCCCGCTGCTCTTCTCTCTCCTCATTTATCTCCTTAAAATTTGTTTGCAACTGGCTTATAGCCTGCTATGTACATGCTCTAAGAGATATTATATCCTTACTTAGGTTGAGCTTTTTTTTATAGATAGAGTAGGAGTATGATAGCAACACATTTTTCACGTCGGCTTCAGCTAGGCATTGACCTCCACCACTGCACCAACGATCCGATTATCCGAACAAGTTTTTTTCAGTTTTTTTTCTATCTGATCACGAAATGGACCGTGTTGGCTGGTTGATTGATTGACTGTCCGGGAGTGCAAATGTGCGTGGATTGAAGAGACGGATGAGACGTTTGCTTGCAACCATTTCATCGCAAAACAGGAAAAGCCCCCATGGTCAATGGCTTGGTTGGTGTCTGTGCATGCGTGTGTGTGTTTTCTCTCGAGGTGGGTGATGGAACAGCCATGGGAGTCTGTGAGCTTTCTTGTGCTTGATGATTAGGGGCACTGGATTGATGATAGAGGGATTGATTCCCAAATCATTTTGATTCCTCTCAAGAGGTCTCTCAAATGCTAGCTGGAGTAGCATTGATCATTGCACTCAACAATCTCTCTGAATACGCATTTGGATTTGATCACTGGCCATTGCCTTGCATTGCATTATGCATGAGTCCATTGTTTGTCTTGTCCTTGGACAAGTCCATACTGGAAGAACAGTGGCCCTCTGTGTGTGTGTCCATGGGAGGTCAATGTCAATCTGATGGGTAAGATCTCCAGCAATGTACTGGTACAGTGTCGTACAGTTTGTGTAGGTAGAGGCACTAATACTGCAGGACAAAACACATCCGGTTATATGTGTCTCATGCTTAATTATAGTACAAGTAATTACATGCATAGTACTCCATGTAGCATTCCACTCTAAGGTCCTGTTATTTTCTGATTAAAATACAGGATTTTATCTTAATTTTTATTATCACGTTTCTTAAACTGTTTAGCGTAGCATTTCATATGAAAACTTTGTATATAAAAGTTATTTCAAAATATAAGATAAATCAATTTTCTGAATTTGAAATAACTAAAACTCAATTAACCACGTGTTAATGGTTTTCTCCCGTTTTGTTTTGTGTGCCTGCACTTAATCTAAATATATCTTCCATGAACTCAAATGTGAGCTAAATGCAACCAGTACAATGTGTCCATAATTTCTACAGAAATGTAGCATGCATGATACTTAGTATATCTTTTTCCTAGTCGTGTGTTTTAACAATGCTGCCTTTTTAAAGGGGTCGTCCTACACAGATCAGATTGACCTGCTGGAACAGTGACAAAATCGCAGAAGTAAAAACCGACACTTGGAGTACTAGTACAGCATCAGACCGAATAAAGCAGGTTAAAGCTGCCAGAGTTTTGCATTTGAATCATGCAACCTTTTGTTTAAGTGGGTTACTACAACATGGGGTAGTACACCCTCAAGAGTAGTACTCCTCCATCACAAAATATAAATATTTTTAGCATAGTGTTAAGTTAAATATTTTTAATTTTAATTATTAATAAAAATAGAAAAGATCAATCGTGTAAAATTGATGTTACTAGATTTATTATTAAACAAACTATCATAATATACAACTCTTTTTATTTAAAATATTTTATTTATATATATTTTTTTGGGTCAAAATAACATCTCGAAGATTGTATCGAAGTCCAAAAATATTTATATTTTAGGACGGATGAGTACACAGTATATCTATATTCAACAACCATTCTAGGGAATCCCAGCTTAATATTAATGTACAAGCAACATACCCGCACCTGTCTCATGCACACTACGACTAGTATCAATCACTCTCTAGAGTTGAGTATTCATATGATCATATCCAAACAAAGGGTATGCATCTCCTTTTCAAACAGTGCTCCTATATATATATGCTCATCAGAGCATTTCTGAAACATGTTGAAAAGGTCTCACCTTGACCTTGGTCATTGCCCATATGCTTAGCAGAGATGCATGCAAATGGAATAGAATAATATGGGCATCCTATTGGGAAGCCTCTTGCACTGTTCAGTCTCTCATTTTTCTCTCTTTGTTGTTATTGCTTGCTAGTAGCTCCAGGCCACAAGGAGAGAAGAAGGACCCTGCAGTTGACTAGGTACATGGCATTTGTGCACACATGCATGCAAAGTGTGGTCCAATTCATGCAGATGGGGGATGGAGCATAGGTACACAGCAATGAGGAGGACAACAAATAGTGGTGTGTGAGGCCATGGGGAGATCAATCAGTCATGGATTCATGCACAGGTAATGAGAGTACTATTACAGTGGCCTCTTCCTGGCTTGTTCTCATGCTACCAATAGACTAATATGAATCATTGATCCCTGAGGATCTTACTTCATTTGGAT